TTCTGATCACTCCCAGTTCGCTGCCCATGAAACCCAGGCTCTGAGGAGAACGTGCCTCACTAGAGCCCATCCTGCTTTCCTCCACTGGCTTCCCACTTGTGCATCTCTGCCTTCACCTCAAGGTGAGTGCAGCTGGGGTTTTCTTCCACAGGAAACCTCATTCTTTCTCCTCCAGTGACCTCCATGCAGAATCATCACAGAAAGTTTCTCCCTTGCCCGGTGAGTGTGAGCTCCTCTTGGTCCAATACAGTAAGATCATAGTAACCGTAGTAAAATCACTAAAACAAACATTTTGAAATCTAACTATTACCCAGAAACTTCTATAACCACTAGATTTCAGATTGAATAAATATAAGACTGAAAAATTACACATTTTTAAGTCAGTGGCAAAGGAAAAATTAATCGCAGAAAACCCCATGAGAAGACTGACAAAATAATAATCACCTCTGCAAACTTCTCCTCTAGTGTGCATGAAGAATTGCACTGGATCTTAGGTAAAACACAGCAAAACAGAACATAAAATCGGGAATCTACTGTCTTAAATGATGGCAGAGACACAGAATGAGACAAGTGAAATTTGTAACAAAGTTTAGAGTGTTGTAAAAATTAGAGGACAAAAAAATAACAGTTTATGTGATAAGTGAAAGAAGTGTCACTTGCAAGTGAAGCTAGACATTAATTCGTGTATTTATTAAATAGCTGCTCCCGGCCAAAACCATGGGAAGACAGGAAACTTAAACTCAGGACAAACACCCAAAGTGCTCACAGGCAGAAGCGGGTGAGCGAGAGACTGCACTGGACTCAGAACTCACAGCAGCACCCAGAGGCACAGATGGGGAGCCCTCGGGCGGATTCACAGAGGATCTGACTCCGGTGCAGGGGTCACAGGAGATGCAGCCTCCAGCAGTCAGTGTGGGAAGCAGAGGAAGAAGCCAGCTGTGCACGGGAGGGGCGGGGTCTTCACAGGAGGGGGGGCACGCGGTGGAGAGGATGAAGTCGGGTGCAGATGCATAGGACCAAGCAGAGTGGGGCTCAGAGGGGTCCTGGGTGTGGCAGGGCCAGCAAGAAGCCAGGCCTTGGTGCCCGAGGAGCCCACCCTGCTCCCAGGCTCGGGTCCCCGTGGTGAATCATGCAATCTCAATCAAATTACCATTAGTATACCTCACAGGGCTAAAGAAAGCATTGCTAAAATTCATTTGGAACCAGAAGCAACCTAGAAGAGCAAAACAAATTCTGGGCAACAACAGTAAGGCAGGGAGCATCACAATTCCTAAGTTGAAATTATACTACAAAGGTACTGTGATAAATGTTCAACATCACTGGTCGTCTAAGAGATGCAAATTAAAACAAACCTGACATTCCATCTTACTCCAGACACAATGGCTGCAACCAAGGGATAAACCAACAACAAATGCTGGTAGGACTATGGTGAATAAAGGAACACCTCCCCACTCTTGGTGGAGTGCAGTCTGGTGCAACCAGATGTGGAAAACAGTGTGGAGATTCTTCAAAAAAATTAGGATTAGAGGTTCCATTTGAACAAACTATTCCTCTGCCTGGTATCTTCTTAAAAGAATTAAAATTTATAACACAACCTACTATGCACCTATGTTTACAGCAACACAGTTTGTAATAGCTAAATCTTGGAAACAAGGCAAATGCCCTTCAACCAATTCATGGATACAAAAATTTGTAGTTCTTTTTTATACCATAGAGTGCTACTCAGCCACAAAGATAAATAAAATTATGACATTTATAGCTAACTGGATAAAACCTGACACCATATTCTTACATGAAATCAGACAGTTGTGTAAATAAATATCACATTGCATCTCTGATCTGAGACACTGAAAGAGTAAAGGAGAAAAAAATATACAATAGATAACAAAAAAATAGGAAGAAACTGTTCAAAAGGAAAGGGAAAAGTGAAGGATGGATGAAGAAAAATGGAGAGAAAAGAAAAAATAAAGAGAGGGAAAATGGAAACAACAGTTCTATAAATAAGGAGGGGAGCAGGGTTGAATGAAACTCAGGGGAAAGTGAGAAAAAGAAGAAGCAAGCTATATCGTGTACAGGTACAAATTCCCCTTCATGAATGTGAATGCTACACATATTTAAATTGTACCAATAAAATTAATTTTAAAGAAAAAGAATATCTAGGTTGGGGATTTAGCTCAGTGAGGCCACCAAGACAAGAAAGAAAGAAAAAGAATGTCTAGACAAAATGTGGTGTATGCATGCAATGGGATATCGCTTTACCTTTGAGAACAGGAAATTCTGACATGCTGACACATGACTGAATGCAGAAAAGATTGTAAAAGCGACAAAGTCAAATTCAATAGTACAAATAATATCAGAGCCTGTTTCTCTGAGATATTTGAGCAGATAAATTCATACGCACAAGAAGTGGACTCGTGGTTGAAAGGGTCTGTGTGGAAGGAAGAATGGGTAGACATTACTCAGCAGGTCCAGTCTGAGTTTGATAGATAAGATTCTAGGGGCCAGTGGAGGCTGTGCTGCAGAACAATATGAGTGCACATAATGCCATTTAATGGTGTGCTGAAATTTGGATAAAATAATGAATTTTATGCTGCATCTGTTTTACCATGTAAAAAGTATGAGAAAAGTGGAAGAGACATTGCCTAACATAAAGCCCCTTGATGGCTTCTTACTTTGAAAAATTATCTAGAGTGTGACATAGCTGCTCTAGCGCTGCCTGCCTCTACCCCATCCTTGCCTAAGCGGACAGTGAGGAAGAGGAGGAAGCAGGAGCAGCACACTGCTGCGGAGCTGCCAAACCCACAGCACAGCACGGCCTTTCTCTGGGTCACGAGAACTGTGTGGTTACTGAACGTGGTGGAAGACAGAAAGAGCAGCAGGGGAGACAGGCTGGGCAGGGGGTGCGCTCCTCAGCCATCCCCTGGGACCGAGTAAGTGAGAAAGTCAGCAGGAAGGAGGAAGATTTACTGTGGCTCCGGGGCCACAGATTTCACTCCACAGTCAGCTGTTCCACTGCCCCTGGGCCTGAGGTCAGAGGATCACGTGGAAGGGCAGGGCAGAGGACAGCTGTGCTCCTCATGGTGGCGCAGGGCAGAGAGAGCCAGACAGGAAGGGCAGGGATGAGATACAGCCCAAGGCATTCCACACGGCCACTACCTCCAGCTGGGCCCAGCTCCTTCACCTCCCATGGATGCCATCAGATTGCCCTCCCGATGAACCCACTGAGGAAGTGAGAACATTCCTGATGAAACAGCCCTGAAAACCCCGCCTCTGAACACATGAGCTAGCTCCAGACATTCTGGGTCCAGAGCACAAAAAACACTCCTGGCCCACAATTCTCACATCCATCTCTCTATGCAAAATGCACTCTGTCCAACTCCAGGAGTCCTCAGAACTTCACAGTTCTCATCACTCCTTGGCCCCCATTTCTCACATCCATCTCTCTATGCAAAATGCACTCTGTCCAACTCCAGGAGTCCTCAGAACTTCACAGTTCCATCATCACTCCAAATCCAAGTCAGAGTGCATTACAACATGTGCAAACTTGTCAAAATGAAACCCCATTGTCAGTATGCACTGATTAAAAAAAAAAATTTGAAAGAAATTCCAAGTCCAGAGACTTCCCTGGGACTCGAGGCAATCTTTGGCTGGGAGCTACTTTCGAAACAAAAAAGCAAGTTCCAACATCCAACAGTGTGACAGGCAGAGGGTAAACATTCCCATTCCAGGAAAATAGCAAGGAGGAACCCAAAACCAGAAAGACAAGTATTAAATCCCGAAGCTGCAGCCCAGCACGCAGGACACCTGTGGCAGGATGTGCACGCCTATGGTCTGGGGCAGCCCCAATCCCCTGGCCTTGCCAGTTGCACCCTCCTGGCCTCTGTCTCCTCTGCCTCTGCTCCCTGCCTACAGCTTTCCTCCCGGGATGTTCCATGTTCCTGGAATCTCTAAATTCCTGAGATTCCCTCACTGCAGCTTTGCTTCCTAACAGTTCATGCATCAGGCACTCTGGGGCCCCCTCTGGGGACAGGAAAGCTGCCACACAGAGTCTGGCGCCCAGGTCTCCCACTGAAATGCTGCTAGAAGCCTCCATGAACCACACCTGCAATTCTCGTACCTGCAGAGCAAGCATGGTGTCCATGAAATCAAGGTCATACACCCACATGAGCAGGAGCCAGGGCCCCTTGGACAGTGGCTGCTGTGGCCTCTGAGTACCTGGATGGCTGAGCATGGAGAAATGAATCTGAGGGAGACAATGATCTAGGCAGACCTGCCCAAGGAAAGCACTCCAGGGTTCTCTTCATAATGAAAGATTTATACTATATATACTTCACCTTGTGTAGGTGGGGTCATGCTGATGCCTTCAAAGCATCTTTCCTCTTCTAATTTGGAAAGTACTTCACTTCTTTTAATGGCACTAATGTCTGCAGCAACCATAACTTACTTGAGCCCAAGCTTTTGGAATCATTCTCTTGTCCTCTCTACTCTTAACTCTCACTGTTAATCTGGCTGAAAGCATGGAGCAGCACCCATGCCAAAGCCTTAGTGCTGTTGTCCATGAAGCTTCCTGTGTCACACCAATTAGTTTGTCACTTTTAAACCCAGCTTTCCACAATGTCTCAGAGTGTGGACAAAATTCATACAAGTGCTTTGTCAGCCTGTAACATGATAGTACTCTCAACAAATTTCCAAGACAATATTACTTTTCTTTCTGAAACTTCAACACAGACTTTCATTTCTACATTCTAGGAGCATATCAGCCTCTCTGAATCATCCTTTCTAGGACATTTCAGCTCCACCTCTATTTCAAAGTCAAGGAATAGATAATAAATGTCTTGCAGCAGTGTGATATTTGATGACATCTCCTAATATTCATGGGAATCATTACAACAGCAAAATGAAAGAGATAAGTATTAGGCATAGGGTTATAGAAATGGGAAAGTAAACTTCATCTTCTTCCTTGTCCATTTCCTTCCAGCGGTATATTAGACACAGATGCCATGGAAATGGAAAATGCGAGTTTTCCTAATAATTTTGTCCTGCTGGGCTTCTCAGAGTTTCCCTGGCTGGAGAGGCCCCTCTTTGCAGTGGTCCTGCTCTCCTACATCCTCACCCTGGTGGGGAACAGCTCCATCATCCTCCTCTCCCTGGTGGACCCCAGACTCCAGACACCCATGTACTTCTTCCTGGACAATCTCTCTCTGCTGGACCTCGGAATCACCTGCACCACTGTGCCCCAGCTGCTGGCCAACCTGTGGGGACCAGACAAGACCATTGCTGCCTGGGGATGCATCACACAGCTCTATGTTTATACCTGGACAGGATGCACTGAATGCGCCCTGCTGGCCATAATGGCCATTGATCGCTATGTGGCCATTTGCCGGCCCCTGCACTACACTCTCATCATGCGTCCTTGGGTGTGTGTGCAGATGGTAGCTGCCTCCTGGTGCAGTGGCCTGGCCAGTTCTCTGCTCCAGGCCACACTCACTCTCCAGCTCCCATTCTGTGGTCACCACACCCTGGACCACTTCTTCTGTGAGGTGCCTGTGCTCATCAAGCTGGCCTGTGGGGACACCTCTACTAATGAGCTGGCAATGGTTTTAGGAAATCTTCCATTTGGAGTAGTGGCTCCCCTAATGGTGCTCATCTCCTACATTTTCATTGCCAGGGCTATACTGAAGCTGCCTTCGGCTGAAGGAAGGCACAAGGCACTCAGCACCTGCAGTTCCCACTTGCTGGTGGTCACCATGTATTTTGGGCCAGGCATGTACATGTACCTCCAGCCCCCAGCCAAGAGCAAACAGGCCAAGTTTATGTCCTTCTTCTACTGTGTTTTCACCCCAGTACTCAACCCACTCATCTACACCCTGAGAAATAAGGATGTGCAGGCAGCATGGAAGAGGATTCTGCAATCCCAGGGTAAGGTGAAGTCTTGGAAAGTGAGAAGAACCCTGCCTGTATCCTGATCAGCTACATGCACACAACCATGAAGACAGGCAAATTCTATCTTCTTTTTCAAACGAGCATGTATAACTTCGAAGAAAAGAATTTTCTTCTCCACAAATTAAGTAATGTAATAACCTGAGAAAAATTTTGGTGAGAAAGTAGTCCTCTGAATTCATCAATAGAGTAATTGTGCTGTTTATCAAAACTTCCAACATATTGTACACCATAGACACACTGGGCAGCATGATCCATTAATCTATAGAGACACTTGCACATTATTGGTGACTGCCACACCATTCCCAACAGCCAAGGTGTGGAATAAAACTAAATTCCTGTCGATGAGTGATGGCAACATAAAATGGAGAATGTGCACACAAAGGGATATTATTTGGTCCCACAAAAACAAATTCTTCCATCTGTGTAACATGGATAGAACTGAAGAACATTATAGTAAATGGAATGAGCTAAACACAGAAAGATAAACTGCCTACTCTCACTGCTACATGAAGTACAAAAGGTTGACTCTAAAACTAGGTTGCTATTTGAGAAAATGAAGCATGATCATTAGAGAGTAATGTCTAGAGTACACTATGCATTTGCATTTATACATTTCTGTACAAATCTGAATGTGAAGGTAAGGTAAATTGATTTTTGAAAAAATTATCCATCTAACTAAATGACTTCAGTCCTCATTTGCAAATGAACCAGACTTATCGAATATATTTTTCATCTGAAAGAACCCCTGCACTTCTTAATCAAATGTCTTAACCATGCATTCCTGTGAATCTCTCTCATGTTTGGATGTAATAATAAAGCTGATATTTGCAAGAGGTGAGAAGTAAAGGGGAGGTGGTGGCTGCAGTTGATGGACATGGAAGGATGAGAGGGAGGCGTCCTGAGCCTCAGCATGTCCACCTCTGGAGGGACCAGGCCAGGCCACCTACAGTGTCTCACACCTGAGCCCTCTGCACTTCCAGTGCTGTCTGCCACACA